TTGATTCTTATTGTGAACAGGGATTTTCTCCGCAAACAGCATTAACCAGTATGATCTGAAGCTTTTCACGGCGACTAAGCATAATGAATTCTTCTCGAGCTACCAGCCTTGTTAGGTGGTTTAATAGGGAAAACACCGACGTCTCGACAACCATCTTCGTCCTCGTCCTCGTCCTCAATAATGCTGTAGTTGTAGGAGATCATTCATATACGATTTACCGTGAGGTCGTTATCTGCCAGGCAATCGCCGCGAGGCCAATTCTCACTACACACACGCACGAACAAATACAGTCCGGCCGTGGCTTGCCTATGGATGGTGACAGTTGTATGTGTGTTTGGGCTGGCCTTCCGACGATTAACTGAATATTATTTAGACGAGCTTCTGGCTTCAAAGGGCAAGAACAGGCACGACTGCTTCTTCATAATCTCAGTGTAACGCCATCTTGAGGAATTTTCCTCGCCGCTACTTCTCCCCCCCCTTCCTTATGCTTACTCGGTAATGGTGTTATGTTTCTCCAGGCTTATGCCTTCTTCTTTCTGTTGCAGCAGCAAGATTATTTGTTTTTCTCTCTGAATTCTGGGTGTGATTTATTTTTGGGAAGGGGTTAAAATTATTGTGTTGCACCCGTTAAGTATCTCTGGCCACATTATGATTATGCAGTCTGGGAATTGTCTGCGGACAGTTAAAGTGGCCCATTTGGGCTAGCTTTTCTTGCGGGAGGGAGTGCGCAAGTGTTCTGTTCTCCTTTTCTTTGTAAACCACACTTGACAGTTTCACTTTCGCTATATTTTTCAAGATTAATTTATTTCCTTGTCTTATCTTTTTATGCCATTTTAATTTGGACTGATATTTGGATTTAATATTGTGAGTTTGTGATCTCTTATTGGTTTATTGTTGTTCCTTTTCCGATCGTTTTTAATCTCACTATTTAAGATTTGAGGTTTTCACAGCGGTGAGTATGAAGATTTCTGTCTTCTGGGTTGTTGCGCTGTGTAGTCTGGTCGATGTTTACCAACGTTTCGGAGGTCATACTGCCTCCGTCATCAGGGCGATACAACCCAGAAGACAGAAATCTTCCTTATTATTGTTTTGGTGCTGATCCAGTTACGTCTTGGGTCATCCCAAGTTATTGTAAACACAAGTGAGTATACTTTCAGTATCCTGTCATTGATGTTGCTGTTTATGATTCTCTTCCCACCTGGTACCCGCCTCTAAGATAGCTCAGAGTTCTTCCCATTCCCCCCTCCCCACTTCTGCCAAACACTGCATCATTATATAAGTGAGGTCAGCGGATGCAAGGGCTGAAAGAGTGGTCAGCATGGCGTCACATTACACATTTAATTTATTCGCCATATAAAATCTGCAGTTGATTAATCTTTTTTAAACAAATTTATGCAGGCTATTTGTATTGGCAAGAAATCAACACAACTTTCCAGATAATGTTAGAATTATCCTGACTCCTTTTTACTACCCGGAGCACGAGACACGCATTTTATTTCTCATGTGTTACCACGCATTCGTAGTATTACGCCTGACTGTAAAAAAATTGTTCCTATTCTAGAGATGGCAACAGATTGTGAGATCTACTATGAATGTAGGCTAGTGCTCTGAGTAATTAGTCTGCACTAGAAATTTAGGATATAATTCGTGCTAGCAGATTTAAAGTTTGAAGGTTCTGTTGTTCATAAGTTGCTATATTTTTATGTTAGATAGGTACTAGTTAAAGTTGATTCACTGCAGCGATAACATACTGATTCAAGAAATAACGAACTTCACAATCCTTGTATCTTCAAGGTGTGTTCAGGATATTATACAGAGAGTAAGCATTGTTAAATAGGCCTACTCTATATAAATGCATTTATGATCAAATAAACTTGAATAAACATCTCAGAATGAACTGGGAATTATTTGAGCCAATTTCCTTGGCTCCGAAATGTCATTTTTGCTTTATTTCCATTGGGATCTGCTGTAGAAGATTGCTTGGTCTGACGCAAATATTTTGGGTACAGAATGCAGCGAAGTTTCAAAGCAATGCGAGATCTGTAAAGGATGTCATATTTAAAATTAATTAATGTTACATATACGTTCAGTTTATTTTCAATTATGTTCGACAAGTGTTAGAATAATTCATAGTGCTTAAAGCAGTTTATACTAAAAAATGTTTTTGATGTCATTAACTATGCAGGATTAGACTTAGTTGTTTCCTAAACCCTGTGCATAGTATGTATCGTGCCACTCGTCTTTTATTCTATTGTCCAGCATGTCTTGGCCCCAGTAGTTTATATTCCAGTACCTACTTTGGTAATTTGTATATCAAACAATCTGTCTTTCAGCATGCCACAGGGCGATCGCACTGATGATGATGGTAGACCTCTGAAACTTTGGCAAATTTCTACACGGCGCTACAACCCGAAAGACAGCCATCTTCACTTATACTGTGATTAAGAATCATTTCATTTCATCTGTGGCTGTAAAACCCATAATGGGTGTTGGTCGACTCTTTTGAAGGTTATTTGATCTATTTTGGCATTTGATAGGACTCCTTAGACGATTGATCAGCCCGTCGCAAGGCCTCTACCTGTACACAGTATAGCACGACACGGAAAGACGCGGACAAACATTTATGCCTTGAGTGGGATTCAAACCCAAGGTCCCAGTGTACAAGCACACCAGGCACACGCGTCTGACCGCACGGCCACTGTGATTAACAAACATTTACCATCTAATAAATTTTGTCACCAAATTTTATTTTACATATCAAAATTGTCGACTCCCGACCTTTCAAATTAAAAATTGAATTCTGCCTTGAAGCTGCAGGAAAGGTGTTTTATATCACCTTTCAACGGCAGGGGAACTTGAAACCTATACACTGCCCAATTTTGGATGCTGAGGTGTTTTTGTGTGAGCCCAAAGAGCCTGCACCATCAGAAGGGACGTTTCCGTTCTCTGTCTTGTGTTAAGGTTTGCCTCTGTCCTGTATATGTGTTATAGTCAATGAAGTTCAGCTGATAATATTAGATTTTTTTATTTTTATATTTCGCTAATGAATATATACTTGTAATAACTCATAAAGATCGTACATATCATGCGCTTAAAAATAGCTGCTTTAAAATTTAAGACGTCTGTCCCTTCTAATTTACATGTTTCAGATAAGTTTTTATTAGCGGAGGCAGTAGCATTTTTTGCAACATTTTTATCATGCCGAGATATTTGATAAAGGAAAGTACCAATCAGTTTACAAGTGTCCTAAATGTAAGAATGTTTTACTGACCTGTGGAAACTCAAGACCTCTAGGACTAGAATAACCACTGAGAAGGCAGTGCCGTACTGAAGCACCATCAATGCCGGGTAGAATTCCGTCAGACTGACACTAACGAAGCCCCCTGCATTGCTGCCACATGTAGCTTTCTGTGGCATCCAGATTTTAAACAGCCGATCTAAGAGTCCAACATTTCGATACCAGTGCACTCTGAAATGATTTCACGAACTTTACCATGTGAAACGGTAACGCTCTAGATTTGTAAACAGGGGGTATTTGGTTCGCTTCCTAGCTATTCTGACATTGGGAATTTGTAGTTTTCCTGAGTTTATTGAGGTGGATGTTACGAAAATTCTAATCTTTCAGACTCATTCGACACGGCGGCTGAAGTACGTAGTTTCGATAGTTTTGATGATTGATACGAAAGGCTTGGCATAATTCAAGAAGGAAATACGTCACTCGCGGAGCATTTTGTTAACTGTACTACTCAGATTAACAAGGTTAACATGAATCCTCTGTGTCTGTAAATTGCGTTTTACTTAAGCCGTTATTAACTAGTGCAAAAGATATGACAAAAGAATTAACTGTGTTATAACTGCTTTAATAAATCGCTTGTGATAGTTCGCCCTTCCCCAAATCTCTAACATTGATTTTTATGAAACCCGAAAAGTCATAATACTGTTTAACTGGAGGCTGAATTGAGTTGAATGATGAGGGATATATATTTCACGTTAATGAATGTAATGAACCTAATGTCATAGATTTTGAGGAAGCTTAAAAATAAAAATATAAGAATACCAGAAATAGATGGAATTAATATTAATCTTACGAAATATGAAATAACAAACTAAACACCGTCTATTAATGTGAGATTTGGGGTCCGCACGGAAAGGAGTATGATTTCGTTTTCTTGGTTTTCATACTGTGTACACTTTCAGGGAAATATCAAGGTCCCAGTAAAACACGCTGCCATTGATAACAACTTTTCCGAGAAACATACTGTCTCCATCGTCAGGATTGAAGACAGACTCAGTATATTTGTCGGAAACGTTCGCATCAACTTAAGAATATACATGGGATCACAACCCAGAAGTACACCATCGTCATCTAACACCGCTATTAAATGATGTATAAACACATGAGAATGAACGCAAGCAGTAGTAACTAATACACGTAAGAATGACAATAAAAGTGAAAGCACATATAAATTATAGAGGGATGCCCCTCTTGTACTCAGTATACAAAGACAGTGTGGCAATGTAAGAAACAAAATTAAAGCCGATAGCAGAAAAAGTTTAAAAAAGAAGAACAATGTTATACTTCCGCAGAGGCAGATAGTGCATAGATATGATCTTCATGATAAAATAAATAGTAGAGCAAGGAAAATTATATAATTTCATACTGCTTTTAAATTATGAAAAGATATATGACAGATTAAACTGACCAAGCTGTGGATCATAATAACTACATGTAATTACCTTGTAAATCTATAAAGAGAATTACAATTTTAACATCTCTATTGTGTTGTTGTTAAAACGGAACACAGGGTTAAATATGGAATCCTTTAGTTCTTCATTGAGATCTACGACGAGAATGTGGACTTTATTATAATTTGATTTGATTTTAAATGCAGTGCCAAATGACTGGAAAATGTTGAAACCAAAATGAATATTCTTGCGAAATAAAGGTTTATTGGCTCAATTTTATTCGCGGAGACCAGGTACTTTTTCAATAATGGAGATAACCTACAATTTTAAATCAGGAAATTGAATTAGGTATTACAGGCACATGATTTGAAAAATATCAACTGACAAAGCATGAGGTATATGAGGAGATTTACTTTTGGAACTGCGCAAATGGATAAATAATAGGACAATTAAATTAAGTGTCTGGAATCCCATGTAACAACGTATAAAATAAACACATGTCTGAAAGGAAATATTAAAAATCTTGGTAAATGAAGCACTTATTAAAACACATTTCGGTGAACATAAGAGGCCCGAGTTACAACCGAGGACGTATAATATGCTATCTAATCCAGCCAGTAGTACGGTAGTGAAACATGGGTGAAAAAAGGACATAGTCAATAACGAATAGAAATATCTTCGATGACGATCCTTAGGTCAATATTAGGAATGTAACTGAAAGAAGAAATAAGAAGTGAAGAAACGCGTGATCGATTACAAGCTTGAAATCTGGTTGAAGATATTAAACAAAACAAATTAAAATGGCTAGAATATATGAAATAAATGTTCCGTGAGTGGTTACCGTGGTAGCTGAACATTTATGTGCCAATTGGAAAACGTTACATTGGACTACCAGGGAAAAGACAGATAGCAATCCTAATAGCCTGGGAATGTAACTATGTACCAAGTTATCCATCATATCAAGAACTTACATAAAAAATAACACATCACTATTAAAGAGAATATCAGTTGTTTGATGCTGTTTGGTGATAATATCGCCTTTGTTCCTATACACGTACAAAATTCACAAATATTCTGTGGGGAAAATGCAGATTTACTAAATGTTAAGTTAACACTGGATTTTGAAGAGGTAAGAACAGTAGCAAGTATGAGTTTGAGGACTAGGTCTGCTCGTAGCTGCGTCTTCCTCAAGAGTGCGAAGTCACGGAAACGACGGTATAGGCCTACTAAACATATACCAGACTACACAGCGCAACAACCCAGAATACAGAAATCTTCATACTCACCGCTGTGAAAACCTCAAATCATACAAGATATGAAAACTTAGCAGTCACCATCAAACACACCGACATCAATAACAGACCGTATATAAATACTGAAACTCTTACCTCTGGCTGAAAAACTCTCTCAGAGACGAACCTTTCGTAGTAGCAATGGTGAACATTGGTGCAGGAAACAGGTCGATTTCCTTAAGGCCACACTTTTCATGCTCTTGGTACGTCTCACTCATGATCTTGTAAGCAGAAGTAGTGTCTACCTGAAAGGCGTGCATCGACTGCTTGATGTGTTTCATGCCAATTGTCGCATGTAGGTATGCTTTCTCGCCCAGAGGTGCAATCTTGCGATGGTAGAAATCCCGAAGCTCGCGGTCTGTAGTTTCCTTTAAACAGATTTGAAAATTTTTCGAAAATTAAAAAATGCATTTGACATATACGAGGCGCGTCCACAAAGTAAGTTTCCCACTCGTCCCACAGCTAGGAAACCTTATATTGCGCGAAGCGACTGTGCGTACGTGATAGAGCAATGACGTAGCATGGCGCATGCACTAACGGTACTTCCCGCGTTCTCACAGTAGCATCGTTGCAGCTGTTGAAGATGGAGATTCTTATTCCAGCTCCCGCCGACTGTGAAGTGCGGTCAGTGATAACGCTAGGCCGCACACGACTCGACGGACAGCAAGTCTCCTGCAGGAGTTCAGCTGGGAGGTGTTTAATCATCCACCCTACAGCCCGGACCTCGCTCCCAGTGATTTCCATCTTTTCCTACACCTCAAGAAATTCCTGTCCGGTCAGCGTCAGCGTCAGCGTTTTGAGAATGACAGAGAGGCGGAGATGGCTGTCACACAGTGGTTCCAATCCCAGGCGGCAGACTTCTACGACACAGGTATTCAAAAGTTGGTCCCACGGTATGACCAATGTCTCAATTCCGGTGGCGAATATGTTGAAAAATAGCTGGACACTTGCTGTATCTGTTGCAATAAATATTTCCATGAAATTGTGTTTTGGTTCTGTAAACGGCCCCAGGGAAACTTACTTTGTGGACGAACCTCGTAGATCAGACGTCAGTGGAGAGATAATAACAGGGGGAAACAATTCTGTGAAGATCGGAACGGCCAGTACAAAATTCAGTTGCTTACTTTTGAAATCTCGGTAATGACCCTTCAAGTCACATAAAAACGGGGAATTTTCTGGGCAGCCAAATGACTGTCAGCTGCTCAAAAGATTCCGTACCATGAATTTGTGATGTATATAACTAACTGCCTTACCAGCCACGAAAATACGGGACAATTGTACACTCCGGGAGATTTTTCTGGGGCCACGTGACCGTGAATTGAAGGACAATCCCGATTATATAGGACACCTGTAAGTTCTTCGTTTCCTTCTACTAAGTATTTATTTGTGAAACTTAATGACGCTGCCAGTACCTCGGATTATGTAACAGAGAATGAGAGGATTATTAACGAGCAATGAACAGGAAAGGTACTGGAAGGAAACAGTCGCGGACTAATTTAAGGCACTATTTCAGCATTTGTCTGGAAGGACTGAGGGAAATCACAAAATATTCATAGTAGCCCGTTGTGAGGCGAAGATTTGAACGCAGAACCTACCCAGTACGAAGTGTAAGTGCTTATCACTCGGTGTTGGGCATGTCCTAGCAGGAAAAGTAATTGCTAGATTTAAAAATTACTGTGATTATGTGACAGTTTGGTGAGAATAACAAACCTGCAGACAGGCCATGTCGCTTGTTCTGCCCGTGAACTTTACTGTCCCTAACCCGCAACTAGCAGCTACTCGCCGTGTTGTTTGAATTCTACAGAAGCCATTCTTATATCGAGTAGGCTAATACATCATTGTCACAGCTGGTACGAACATCGGAAATAAACTTTGTGTATCAAGTCTGGTACCTTCATATAAACACTGTTGTATGTCTGATTCTCCACTTCAATGATCATGGGACTGATGGCGAGGTCGTGTATCGTCTGGATGGACGTGCTGGGTGTCTGTAGCAGCGCCACGATATTGGCAGAGTACGATGTGAAGAGGAACAGGGAAGAAAGAGTGAGAACGAAAACTGTCGTCCTTCCTGCCAGGGAGGTCGGTGTCAAGTGATAACCTGCCACATAGACCTGCTGCTAAGAGGCAAGTACTTACAAAGTAACAGGACTTAACTTCTCCCTCTTAGTATACTTTCTTGTAATATTTAAAAATATGGGAATGTATTTCAGAAAAACCGATTAAATAATCCCTGAAATTTAACCAGTGGTAAAACAGTTCCCACAAAAAATTGTGTGAGGAAGGCGTTAAATAGTGGTATAGACTAAGTGGAATTTCGTCATGTACCTTGCTGGCAGATGGCTCCAAGCACAAGCGTGAACATGTCGGACCAATCAGAATGTAACATGTTTTCCTCAATATGTTGTCTGACGCTACAGGTAATTTGGACTCCCAGAGTGAAGACAGAAGTGAGACAAAGGGCAAAGCAGCACAGCCATACCGAGCGGTCGAAAGGGAGGATAAAGATGTTTCTCACTGTGGACAGACTGGGCTGCCGGAACATTGTTGTTGCCCTAAGAAACACAGAAGCAATGTAAAGATATTTCGTACTGTGGACAGCTCATTTGTCTTACTTATCCATATTATCTTACGTTATTGGGGTTTGCATTTTGTTGTTCAAAATCGAATTACTTTTTGAGACAAGGATCACTTGCTATGAATTATAGCCACAACAATCAGACCAGTTCATGTGTGGTCAGGGTATTGTGTTACGTTAGTAAGTCGACGTAATTATCTTAGAAATGTAGCGAAACTTCATTGTCAGCTTCGGCGTCAATTTGGCCTCGTCATCGGTTATGATATATGTCCGGCGTTTAGATCACAGGCCTGTTCTGCAATGCAATCGCTTGATTGTTACTCGGTGCTGAATCACCTGTGTTATTAAAGGCATTTTTGGCCTAAACTTCTCGAAATTTTGGATTCTGTTTATGCTGTATCTCTCTGAATCACTGCGCAGTATCATAATACGTTAATAGCAAAGAAATGATTGCATTTAATTCGCTTAACAGCTTAGGTTCAATAAGACTTACTTGCTAAATTGCTGAATTTCCTAATGCAGCAATTTATAAATGACATGAAGCCAAGAGAAATTTCTTACATTTTGACTATATTTCGGTAGAGGTTCGACATGCAATGTTATGTTCCTTTTCTGTTGAGAATTATTACTCTCTTATTCCGTGTTGTACTTGTTTAATTTTTATTACCTGAGTGGGAAAGTTGATGCAGCGTAACTCGTCACTGCGAAACGGTCATTTCGAACGAAAATACCAGTAGATGGGAATTCAACTTCTTCACGTTGCATGTATCCCATCATACCGTCGAAGGTGCCATTGATGAGCCAGCCATAGTTATCCAGTTGATATGTAACTTCGAAACTACGTAACACAAAACCAAATGATCGTGTAGAATGGAACGTGTCCATATTGCCATTCTTTCAAAAGACAGGAAAGGTCAAGTTAGGCAGGAGGATTTACAATTGAATGGGACACATCAGCTATTGGCATACGCTGATGTTGTTAATTTATTGTGTGACGATATAAATGCAATAAAGAGGAACACAGAAGTTTTACTGGAACCTAGTAGAAAGGTAGGCATAGAAATGAATTCAGAACAAAAAAACAAGTACACGTTAGTATCCCGTCAGCAGACAGGCGCGCATAATCATATTAGGGTAACTAATAAATCCTTTCAAAGCTTGATAAAATTCAAATATTTGGAAAAACAATAACAAATCAAAATGATATTCACGAGGAAATTAGGAGGAGACTAAATTTCCGGAAATGCTTGATACTTCTCAGTTCAAAATATTTTATTTTCCCGTCTGCTTTCTAAGAACCTAGAGATCAAAATACACAAAACAATAATTTTGCCTGTTGTTTTGTATGGGTGCAAAACATGGTCCCTCACTCTGAGGGAGGAACGTAAATTGCAGGTGTTTGAGAATAGGGTGTTGAGGAGGATATTTGGGCCTAGGAGAGAAGACGATGGAGTATGGAGAAAGCTGCATAATGATGAGCTTAAAAATACTCCTCTCCAAGTATTGTCAGGGTAATTAAGTCAAGGTGAGTGAAATGGCGGCGCATGTGGCGCCCGTGAATCGGTAAGAGGTGTGCATCGGGTATTGGTTGGGCACTGTGAGGGGAAAAGACTGCTGGGGAGACCTAGACGTAGATAGGAGGATTTTATCAAGCAGGAGTTGGGAGTTGAAGGACTAGATTTGCTGGCCCATGACAGACCGCTGGAGGGTTTTGGTTAATTCGGTGATGAACCTCCGAGTTCCCTAATTAATTTGTAATTATGGAATTTCATTCTCTAAGTGTAGGTCCATGGGCATGATGACAGCACAAATCATGTTTAAATATAGTTTATTAGAATCATTAGTGTTTTGGAAATTTTGCATGGTTGTCACGTACACAGTTATTTGTATTACTTTTGCCTTTTTCAGAACAACAGGATTCTTCTAGCGGTGGAGTCTTAAACTGTTAATGCTAACTAGAAATGCACAGTCATGAGGAAAGTGTGATATTCTTTGAGAAGTCGAGTATACAATAGACTTTTCAAAGAATTTCTTGCACCATAGAGTGGGTGAGTGAGTTAACTGGAAATAATAAAATCTATCGTTATCGTTTGGAATAAATAACCTAAAATGAAAATACATCAAATTAGGAGAGAGGGGCAGAACGAATAAAATATTCTACTGGAAACTAGTGATTTGAAATATATACAATTATTCATTGTAATTTTTATAAATAATATGATATCTTAAATAATATTTAACTTTTCTTCCCTCTAAACCACTTACATTTATAAAAAGTAAAATGGACACAAAGAAGAGACCAATATTATGACATTCTGGTTAGTAACAAAATTTAAATATATCAATCTTGATAATTTCGGCTTAAGAAACAGTCTTACTCGGATTGTTAAGGCTCTAAAACATTTTGACTGTGGCATGTTCTTCTTCATTTACACGCACGCATTCAACTACAGGATCTGTTTTTTTGTTTTAGTCATCAATCCTAGGATTGTTTGGCAACCCCATTACGGGGTTGTTTCTTGCGAAGATACCACGGTGGTTTCGCCTTGCCTTCCGTGGCCATTCTTTATCCATCAGACTGGAAGAGAAAGGACGCGGACAAACATCCATGCCTTGAGTGGGACTCGAACCCACGGTCCCAGTATCCAAGCACACGAAGTCCATGCCTCAGACCGCGTGGCCACTGCGGCCGACAGAGGCTTTGGTTACAGCAAGAAAAATGTAAAGCGACAAAAAGATATTGAGTGGAATTGAATGGCATATAACATGAAATTGCATATGCTAAAGCCATTAATTTATTAACTGAAAATATATTAATTATGCAACAAGTTTATTACTCAGACATTTCGATACGAAAATTATATACCAGATTTTGATTTCAGATTGAAAGTAGGCTATTTTCGGGAAATAATTACTACCATTCAGTTTTAAATGTTTCGTTAAAATTGATTTGAAATAAGTGGGATGGGGTGGTGTAGATTGGATTCATCTGGCTTGAGATAAGCATCTGTGACGGATTCTTGCTAACATGGCAATGAGCTTTGTGGGTACTATGAAAGGGGGAAATTTGTTGGAAATCTGAACAAATATTCCAAGGAAAGTGTTTGTTTCATGTAGGTAAATGAAAATGTATTGACGGGATAGTAAATGCTGATACAACTAAATAAATGAGCACTTTACGGAACCATATCTGCTCTGGCCATAATGCAATAAATCATATGAAAATGTTTCCAAATCTGGAACGATAACACGCAAAAGAAAGTGTACATTCCGTGACTATGGATCGTATTCCTCCACCTCTCGTGCCATAAAAAACCAGTTCCATTGCCTTGAGAATTACAATGTTGCTCAATCTACTGAGTTTTAAAATTTTGGTATGTACCAACATTCCATAAGTTGTCAATACCCAGGCGATGTTATTCCATCCTCATTTTCACCGCCGTGAGGACCTCATATTTACCATGAGGAAGCAGCCAGAATTGTTTAAATAGAGGTCATCAACAAGACACACATAACAATCACTGAGTCTTGATAGGTTGTACCACACAACATACAGATGCTTCATACCTGAAATTCAGTTGCTCTGCCAGGTATCCATATATCGGCCAATGGATCTTCGACCATTTGTCAACATGGCGTAAGCGCAAGTCATACCAGTCGATGAACTGATCAGGATACAGGATCTGAAAATAAATGCATAATGCGATGTGTGATTGGACTACGGGCATGTCGGACAGTGTCCATCGCCTAATCATAAAAAAAATAACTCTCGACTTCAGATTTAATTTACTGATCGACCTGAGACGTTTATTCCTAAATATTCAACGACTCATCAGATGTTCTCCCACAGATTTGTAAGAAGTAAAGTTAAAATGAAGCTGCGAACATTTTAGAAGAAGAATTTGCTTTACAACCGGCCAAAGCTGCCGCGCGGTCCGAGGCGTGGGTTTTGTTTGCTTGGACAGTGCGACCGTGGATTCGAATCCCACGCAAGAATGGGTGATTTTCCGCGTATTTCTGTGTTGTTTTGTTCAGTGTAGATAGAGGCCTTGCGACGGACTTTTCACTCGTCCGAGGAGTCCTACCAAATGTCGAAATTGATTCACGATTTCTGAAGTAATTCTGAATTGGAACAGACGTGATATGTAAGAGTATTAGGAAAAAGAGGAAGAAGAAGAAGAAGATGCTTTCTCTCATTTGAGTCTTAAATTCTACCTGTCCTAAATACCAAGTTCACTAAGCTATGGAACGTAAGAAGCAACGTGTTTTCAAGACAGTTAAGATTTCACGTCATTGGGTAATTTGACTCAGAACACCAAGAAAATTCATGATTTTGGGGCATTATGAGAGAGAATCGCCATACAATTCAGATATAGTTCGTCGTGTCTGGAAAACAATTGAAAGTCGTTTGGACATCTCTATGACTACAGTTGGTACTTCGAGACCTTTTCAGGCATTTAAGAGCTATTTCACATTTTCTAAAACTTTGTTTTTTATGGCATGTCTAATAAGTTATTAAACTGACAGGACGAAGAATGTAATACTAATGCAACTGAGACGCGTCACACGTGCACTTGTTAGGTTGTAGTGCAGTTAGATGGGAGGAGGGTTGGAAGGTCGGAAGGGACCAGTAGTGAATGGATGTAGGGACGCAAGGGAGTAAGGTGGAACGACTGTCGGAGGGAAGGGAGAAGAGATGAAAGGGAAAAATGGGTGGAAGGAGGGACACTAGGATGAGTAGTGGAATGTTGGAGTGAAGGAAGGAGAAAAGGAAGGAATGATGGGAAATCTGTTCTTTCCAAAAAATAACATATTCCGAAACACGGCTACAAAACATTTTCTGTTTGTTGTGAGAAACACATGAAAGCCATATTAAACACATTCTAGCTCCTTGTTGAGCAGGTGATGTCGCTCAGCAAATAAAGAAATCCTTGCCTTTTAAGGAACCGAAGGTTAACTACCGTATTCACTACACCCCATCCACTGGCCCGTGTTATAAGTGAGGTAATCAAAAACAATCAGCATTCGCACGCCCAGTTTCTTTAAGATTTATCTTAATATTATAATCCTATCTACTCTAGTTACCCGCATATTTTTTCACCCGTTGCACATAGCGGCACACCCAAAAGATCGCTTAATGAAAAGGAGGTACAAAACTCTACATAGTTACATATAAATACTTGTCCGATAAGAATTAAGGTATATGTAAACAAAACATAACACATTTTAAATAAAATTATTTCTGTTTAACCAGCGTGTATGTGTGTTACGAGTTGTAGTTACGAAAAATAATATATTGCCTTTTACCAAGAGAAAGGTTTAAGTACTCAATTTCTTATAACAATTATCGGCACACCAATGTGTCGCAGCACACCATTTGCGGTACACTGATGCACATATACATGTCTCATTGGTCTTTTCGTTTCCGGTTTTCCGAACAAAATTTTGAAGATATTTTCCTCCACTTCTAGTTTTGCTATATATGTATTCCGTTGTCTGTTATTACTAATTACTTGACCATTTGACAAATATAAATTAAGTATCAAGTTCCCATTATTCCAGTTCTATTTATGATTGTCGTTCATTTGAAATTGGGTCAAGTAAATGCAACACGACTTAGCTGGAATTAACATTACAGACTAATATGACTGTCTTGTAGGTTGTTGTGTCAAGTAGTCTGGTAGTAGTTTACCAATGTTTCAGAGGTCCTTACTTCTTCCATCATTGAGTGTAGTCAGTGATCTGTATAACGCCAGGAAACTTCTAGCAGATTACTCAACGCAACGAAACTGAAGATTGCCAACTATCTTAATATTTGTAGATTTAAGAACGTGAACTGTGGACTCCAGGGACCTTCGGAAGATTACACTGTACTGCGTACTACTGTAGCTGTTTTGAAGTGTGCCCCATGCAGGTTATTTCTCCTTAGTGTCACGGGAAATCTCCTGGCGAACAGGACCCTGAACTCCTCACTTCCGTGTGCCTGGACAGTTACTCCTGTGACGGAGACGTTAAGAGGTTGGGCAGTGCTCGTCTTGTAAACGTCCAGCAACAGAATCTCTGGTTCAACTGTTGTACTGTCCTGAAACAGTGTCCGTTTACGTACGCATAATTAATACATTGTATTAATACATTAATTGTATCATGTGTCATACATAAAGAGCCGGTTGTTAGAAATACAGAAATGGTTTGCATAATGCTCTGTAAGCAGATTACTGTTTGACAGAATTTATGATGAAAATTATTATTAAGATAGAACGTATTTTATTGCTACTTTGCGCGAAGAGGAGCCTTAATCAATTTACTGACTACAGATTGTAGGATTTGAGGTTTTCACGACGTTGAGTACGAAAATGGTTGTCTTCTGGGTTGTTGCGCCCTGATGATGGAGGCAGCAAATACCTCTGAAACGTCGGTAAACTTGTAGAGACAGAGCGCAACAGCCCAGAAGACAGCCATTTTCAGAGTACAGTATTGTTTTCTGATAAATATTCTGACTTATGATCCCTTTCTCCTTGCATAACGATTTCCTAAACAAGAATTATACTTTATATCTAAAAGATAGAGCTAATTCCTACCTCCGGACCTATCTATTTGACCCAACAGGGTAGGTAGCTGAAGATGGCGATAGAGTCCTATCTCCGAAACGTCGTTTTCTGTTTTATTATTTAACTAGACGATGGAAAATATCCAAGGAACGTTTTATTCAAAGAATTATACTTGCATTTTCCCGTAAATTGAATAAAATTTTTATGAACTGTTGGTCATTTCGAGCGCTGCACAGATTGTAAAATATGGCTCAATTAGTAAATATGAACATGAAGATTTATGTCTTCTGTGTTGTTGCGCTGTGTAGTCTGGTCGATGTTAACCAACGTTTCATAGGTCATAGTGCCTCCGTCATCGCCCTGTCTACACAGCGCAACAACTCAGAAGACAGAAATCTTCATACTCACCGCTGTGAAAACCTCAAATCTTACATAAATATGAACATACATTTCACTAATTTGCATTACTTGTATGAGTCCTGTTGCTCGATTCCGTTGCACCCATGTTAGCTCGCTGTCCGCAAGAATTCGTAGCTTCGATAGCACGAAATTCCCCAGCTCGGACAGTGTGTACGTGACGTTGAAGTTGAACTGTCCCTGAATGTTGCTGTCCACACTGTACACCACAGCGTAGTTGCTAATACTGCCCTGCAGGACTGCAGGGACTTCCTTCAGGCGACCGCTCTCAAGTAGTAACCAGAACTTCTGCATATTGAACAGCTTTTTCGATGATGCCTACAATTTTATATCACTTTATTAGTTTCTTGATGGTTCTCAGACGTATGCTTTAGTAAATTGTCCAGCCTTTTATGATCATTTTGCGCTGTTTGCGTGATATGCAAGAGATTAAGGCATACAAGGCTGATAATATCTGTCTGTTCGTCCGGATGTCCTCATAACCGAGATGCTCTGGATGGTTTTGAACAAAATCTGGGTTGGATGTTATGCTATTGGTGCTACCATAAAATCACACTCTCCAATTTTCTACGATTTCTAATACCAAAGTGGTGGACAAAGAAACTTTTGAGGTGTTATCGACACTAGCGCCACTTACAATAGTGCCATAGTGTGACGTAGAGTTTCTGTAAATACAAAACTGTGGCGCAACTATTCTTTGTATAATGCAAATTGTTAACATGGTGGCTGCGTTAAAGAAAATAAATGTTATTTATTCCGGTATGGAATATATAATACGTTTCCAGTTAAATATGTTGTTTACTTTGTGGCCGTTTCTTTGCTAATTTGCCTCACAGTTCTTGAAACAGATACTGTGCTTTACAGTGTATAAGACACTCCATTGAACAATACGAACCACCAAAATCAAAGCAATTTTCATATTTAAAACAAAAAATCAAACAAATTCATAAAAACAGATTATTCTATTTTAACAATCGCCAGTGTACTGAAATTATGTTGAATGTTGAACGTTGCTTCTCGACAGGAGAGGGAGTTAGAGAAACGAATATGAACAAAATTAGCAGCTGTGACCGATTCAGAGTGCACCTGTACTGGGAAGGGTGGCAAAATTCGCAGTAAAAAAATGCAGTGTAATTTTGAGGTATATTCTGAAGTAAATGGTGTCTTATACACCGGAATGTACGATAATAACAACGTGCTCTCTCCCGGCCTGCCACTAGAGACATTCATCTCGCTAGCAGACGTATTACGGGTACTTTATCGACATTATCGCACCCTCTCCAAAGCGTCCATGGAATTGTTGCATGCCAAGTCGACGAGCACGCCGACTCTGTAGTAAATGTCTTGCTCCAGTACAGTGACCAGGTCTATGGGCTCAAGGACCAGGTTTACGCGGACCCCTGAAGACGACAAACTGCGCACCAGACTGTGTTCATCTGTGTGTTAAAAATGTCTCATTATTCAAGAAATGCATGTAATAGGTAAAAGATAGAATCAGATAGATATGTAGCAATTTATAAAATTGTGAAATAATTAATTGAATACAGAATTAGAGACGAATTTAATTTTTTAACTTAAATGGCAAAATTTTTAAATTTAGACCACAATGGAAACATCACATTTCACACAAACAAATTTTAAATTGTAAACCTAGTGTAAGAAGAAAAAAAAATTGAGAGTTCAATACAGGATATATGTGTATGTATTGTGATAATTGAGGTCCTGACGTGGTGTCGGCTATAACTGTCATATGGGACGTTGTGATGTGACCAACGTTTCAGAAGCGATTGCTGTATTTATCTTGAAGGGAATCAGGAACCAGTAAGTACATCTGAACAGCTAGTAGATTTCTACTAGAGGTCACAGCAAAACAGTATACCTTCTTACATATCGCCGTGAGAAACTATTTAAATTATTTTTTCATCACGATTATTACTAAGAACAATAGGTCTATTCAAGCAGAAATCATCATGAGAAACTCTGGGTGCCAATAAAAATATTTGTTATTTACTTACATCCTCCCCAACAAACAGATGCCGTCACAAGTGAAACGCTCTTGAATTCATAAAACGCTTTCACTAAATGCATAGTGTCTTTGTAGACACTTCTTGCTTCACCATTCAGTATACAGCTTGTGTAAAAATACAGAAGAAACATACGGTGTAAATGCATTGCGTTATTTTAATATATCTTCAGACGTCGTAAACGTAAGTTAAGATATCTACATAGGGTATCTAGCTACAACGTAACTGAATGACTGTATTATTTATAATGGGAGAAATGTAGCCGACGACACACGCAAACACAGATTGAACTGCTGAATTAATTAAGAAACTTCCAAGTGAACAAACAATTCATTCCTTTACGTGGGTCACGAAAAGATCAGACAGAAAAAATGTAACACATACGTAATCAATTTTATATATTATTGGCGACCGTTAAAATCTGTGATTTATAGATCGATACGAAGACAATTTTGGGTTCCTGCTCCTCACAGTTTAAGATGTAAAACAAAACAAAAATAAAATCAATTAATTGAGTGAAATAACACTTCTGTGTTTTTATCACTATAGAAAGCATTCGTTTCGTACAATGTCTTTCGGACACTCTTTATGTTTTTGTATTAACGTTTTCCTCATAACTCATTAATTCATTAATTGTACTTAAAATTGTTCGTTATCAGGACTTTTTCCATTTCTTCTTTTAAAATCACGACATAGTTACTTTGTTACTTTGCGTAAAAAGTGTGATTCGAGTTCTTTTTCTGTTTAAAGTGAATCTAACTGTATATAGGGGAGGCAAGGGCAGAACGAGGCATGTGGAAGGGACAATAATAAAGACAAACACGTGGAGGAACCTTGAGTGGATTTGAAATTTATAATGAGTTATTAGTTTAGTTCTAAGAGTTACAGTTTTTTAAATATTAATTTCTGTACAATAATGTAACTTGCCCCATTTTGCCCCGTACCCGGGGCAAGAAGTAGTATTGTTGATATATGTGTGTGAAAAGTTTCAAGGAATCACAGATTATGTAATAATTATGACGTAGGATATAAAAATGATTAAGTTTACAATGTAGGCCTAACGCAGACGGCACACATGTGCACTTTTTCATCATCGTGACTATCAACACCTGCCAATTTAAAGCAAGACCGGATCCATCCTTCAATAGACTGCGAATAGACATCGCCACATTACAGGCATTTGTCATTTGATCCTTTTCTCTAGGTACCCCATTCTGCCCTACACCGTAGTAACCGTTCTCCACCGTCCCCGCAGAACGCAGCTTCCACAACGATGGGGCTGGTAGGGATTGTTGGGTCGTTGAGATCTCTCAGGGTTCTATGCTCAGCTCAGCTAGTCGGTATGCATCGACTCACTCTCATTCGGTGTGTGTGTGTGTGTTCCATCCAAGATCAATCCGAGTGTTCACTCGGATTGATCTTGGATGGAACACACTATTTATTTATGACCTGCAATATGCTGGTCACACGTCACGCAGTCCAATTCTTGATATTTTGCACTTTGTTAGATTTCACTCTTCTCTTAAATACACAGCCACAAACAGACTTCTCAATCACCTCCTTTCTTAATACTATAACTTTCAATGTAATGTAATGCAATCTCGTAAGGTTGTAATCCCGCAATGTAATCTTGTAATATAAACTTGTAATGTAATCGCGCAATGTAAACTTACAATAATCTGGCAATCTAGTCTTGAATAACCCTCTGTGGCCAAAAAAACAAACAAATGTTTTTATACCGTAAGCACCGTTTTGGCTCGGCAACCAAAATTCCCAGCTTTGCCCAAAAGGAAATGTAACATCAACTCCTATTGGTGTGGGTCCAGGTTCGGTTTGAAGGACCTCTCCTTTCCCAACCAATCCTCAGGGAGTTCCTCCCACAGTCTTAATTCTAAAGGGCATAGCTAACGAGCGGCAAAACCCACTTGGGCTAAGAGCAGGTAATTCATGTACAACCTCTGAGTTCCCACGTAATTCAGGTACCGCTACATCACTTAGTATTGGCTGTCCATTTCCGATCCCAAGCTTACAATATTCCAGAATATTAATGAAATACAAAGGAATCATAAACTAACAAAAGAAAAGCAGGAGAATATGTGGCTAATAAAAAACCTTATGACCGAGTACATAAAAGTTGGATTTCTTACAAGTATAGAATTAACATGCACCAGTACAGGGATTGATAAACGGTTACACCAGTCTGCCCTGAGTGTACGCTTTCAAATTAGGATTGTACCACCAAAAATGACACGATGAAAATAAATATTGTGTTTAAGACTTTCAAGAAAACACCTTGTAACATGCATCATTTAACAAAGTGGATATGAATAGGTCTTACCTTAAGTGGAAGTTGAGAAAAACTTGCAAAATGTAGGAGCAAAATCCAGCATGGGTGATTATTTCAGAAACTGTAATCACAAAATGGCGCTGACTGACTTGACATAAGCCTGTGCTCTATGCTAATGGTATTTCACCCGGTCCCGATAGATCGCAACGCATTGCAGACGAAATAAAGCCGAAGCCCTGTTCTTTCTCGTGCACGGTCTGCCCTGGTCTCCCGTATCGGTTCTTTTATTAGGATAGCAAAGTGTAACAGTTCAAACAAAATCATGTAGGTTGGTAGCTAAGCAGCGGTCATACTCCATTCAAGTTAGAAGGTTCTCTATGCGATATGCATTCTCAAAACTCTTTGTCCGTGTTCGGTGGTGCAAAATTTTAAAAATAAATTGCTTTGATGACACAGTCATTTGTGAATGAACATTAAAACGAAATTTAACGCGGTACTAAAACTGTGCTGAAAATATGTTACGCATATGCAATATATATATGATATGACGTCCTCACACAAGTATGTCAGGGAATCTCTGTTATCAAATAACAATTCCTTTCGTACTTTTACGCATATATAAGCAGCTAGAAAAAGCTCGAAATCGCTGGCTGCTATAAAAGAAATTCTAGATAGTATTTTCACGCTTTGAAAACGCCAAAAAGGAGATTTGCGATTGTGAACGAACACCTTTGTCGAACCTATCCGTACGCTAGTTCATATTGAAACTAACCAATATAACATTCCAAGTATTGTTTTAGTGAATACAGGAGACAAACCAGTTCACTTATTAAGACGGCAGTGTGTAAGATTTGAAACAAAATCATGTCGGCCGCTAACAAAACAGCGGTCATACCCCAATGAAACTACACTGTTCATTATGCGCTACACATACCCAAGACTTTTTGTTCGTGTTCTGGGGTCATAAAACGTAATAAAAAATG